TGTGCGCCGAAATTGCGTGTGGCAACATTTCGTCCCAATCTTTTTGATTATCCACCACCAGGTGCGCCAACATTTGACACATAGTATGATATTAACCTTTCCACCATTCCATTCGTTTGGGGATGATAGGAGCTAGTGAACTTCTTGATTGATCCCAGCATTTTATACACCCCTTTCGCCACACCTGTAGCAAATTCCGGTCCTCTATCCGACAAGAATGTGTGTGGACAACCCCATCTTGGTATGTATTCATTGACCAAGATTGCCACAAATCCTTTTGCATTCTTTTCACCTTTCTGCAGAGAGTACCCTTCCGCATGCCTACTGAATAAATCCACCACCAAAAAAATGTACTCACAGTCATTCTTCGTTTTCGGCAATGGACCCAAATAGTCAAAAGATACCATCTGTCCGGGCCTACTTGGCAAAGGTAATGACACCAATGGCCATAGGTTCGTGTACCTCGGTGTTTTTCTGAATTGACAAGAATAGCACCTACGACACCACCATCTCACAATCTCCGCCATTCCCACCCACCAATACAATCCCTGCAAAATGCTTAACGTCACCTTCTCACCTAGGTGTACTGCTTCTTTGTGTGCGCAGTCCATCACCAAGGTCGTAACATCAGAGGCACGTATGTCCTTACAGGTTCATCCCCCAACAGCCTGTCGAACTGTCCCGGATTTCGGTTTGGCCTGTTTGATGGTTCACGCGTCGCACGACGAACCAGCAATTTACGTGAATCAGCCAACACCATGATCGTTCCTTGCGCGACCAACCGTTTAACATCATCAATATCCACCCCTTCAGGTATGTCATTTTCCCCTATTTTATGTACTTCAACCTCATCTGTAATTAGCTGTAGTGCTGCCTTTGCTGTCAGGTCTTTGTATTGCGCTTCGACCCAATCGCTGGCCGTTTTTTCACACAACCGTTCTCCAAATTCTTTGGCTTCCTTGCTGTTCCAACCCTCCCTCTAATTGTGACCCTTTAGATCGCATCACTGGTTCAGCTTCAGATCCACCACCTGCTGAGCCTCCTCCTTCATTTGAGTTGATCACCATGACTCTCTTTCTCTTGTCTCGTTGCTTTTTGATAACTCCCATTCCCAACAAACATCTTCCCACCTCTGTCATCGGGACTGCATGCAGTATTAAACCTGATTCCCATTGCCCACTAACCACCATTTTCCCTGGATCTACCAGTGGAGTCTCGTCTTTCAACGCATAGTGTTTCGGTTCATCCTCCACCCTTAGAGCCATCGTTTCTCTGTGCTGCTGAATCACCTGCCACGTCCTATCTGCCTCTTCATCGGTCGTGAACGGCTGATGGTCATCTTCCCCCAACACAAAATTCTTGCGAGGGTCGGCTTGCGTCGGGCGTTTTCGCCCACCCAAGACAGGACCCATTCTCGCAGGAATCACTCCGCTTGCACCTATCATATACACATCCAGATCGGACGGATCAGTTAATCGCATTTCGGGCGATGCATCTTCCTCCATCGGCGGTAAGGGTAAACGAGACATACAATCTGCATTGCCATTTGCTTTTCCCGGCCGATAAATCAGCTCATGTGTATACGCTGACAGGAAATCAAACCATCTTTGAACCCTGTTATTTTTTTCCGCCAAGCTCTCTAAATTGCGTAGAGGTTGGTGATCACTGTATATTTGAAACGGAATGCCGTAAAACAATGTTCGGTTTTTCTTGATAGCCCAAACAATCGCCCCACACTCCAACTCTGTTGCACTCCACCGCCTTTCATTGGGGTACGTTGACCTGCTCAAATAACACAAGGGTCGAACTGTGCCATCCTCTTGCTCTTGTTCAATAACTGCCCCAAGTCCAGATATGGACGCATCAGTGATTAACCTAAACTTTCTTTTCCCTGTTATTGCTCCTTCATAATCAGGAAATGCCAACACTTCCGGACTGGATAGTTTGTCCTTCATTTCTTGTATCACCTCGGCATGTTTTGCCGTGAACGCAAATTTTGCATCCTTCTTCAACAACGCCGTGACTGAATGCAATTTTGCAGACATCCCCTTTAAAAATTTCCGATAGTAGGACAGACTCCCCAAGATTGACCGTAACTGACTGACATTCGTTGGCATCGGCATTTGCAACATAGGCTTCACCTTCTTCGGACATGGCTCGATCCCTTCAGCCGTTACTTGATGTCCCAAAAACGTTACCACCTTCACCCCCAATTGTGCTTTCTTCGGCGCTAGCTTCAGATTGAACTTTGTCATGCGCTCGAAAAACTTTTCCAGATCCTGCACGTGTTCTGCACCATTTCGGGAGTATACGATAACATCATCAATGAATAATCGCACCCTCTCCAGCCCATCACACACGCGTTGCATGACTGAATGGAACCACCCTGGGCTACTCGACAATCCTTGCGGCATAGCCATGAATTCATATAAACCGGTGGCCGTAATAACTGCAGTGATCGGGATGCTGTCCTCTTCAATACAACACTGGAAAAATCCACTGATCAAATCCAGAGTGCTGAATATTTTTGCCGACTTCAGATCCGCCAGAATGTCCTCTACTACTGGTATCGGTAGTTTCGGTATAACGCTCATTTGGTTCACTTTTTTGTAATTCACAGTTAACCGTACTCCTCCATTAGCTTTTGCGACCACGACCAAGGGACTTGCCCAATTACTGTAGGATCGTCGCAAGACCCCTGCCAACAGCAGTTTGTCAATTTCTATCTGCACTTTTTCGTTTATGATCGGCGAATATCGATACGGCCGTTGTTTCACCGGCTGTGCTCCCGGTTTCAAAATAATTCGGAACGGATCCACCTTTACTTGTCCCAAATCAGTACCGTCCCTTGAAAATCTGTGCTCATATTTGCATAACAGATCACTTAGCTTTATTATGTCTTCGGGTTCCCACAACTCCGCGTTGAAATTGAAGCGAACATCTCGTATATGCGCGGGCACCTTTTGCCATAGACGTCGAAATGCCACCTGTTGCGCGGGATTTAAACCAGCCATAACATCATCAGGGGGTTCATCCGCAGGCATGTCAGTTGCATCACTTGACACCACGTGAACCTTATATTCTTCATTCGGAATAAGCCTTGCATCGTCCATACTAACAACCTCCAAGGGTTCACCACCCTCACCCAACAGGTCATTGTACTTCACCAAAAATGCAGCATCCCCCACCCGTCTCAAAGGAATTTCCGATTTGCCTGCACTTACAAGTGCTTCTTGAGGGAACCATTTATCCTTGAATTTTACGCGGTATGTTCCTTCTGTCGCTTCACTGCCGTCAGGGTTGGTCAATTCAACTTACCCATGACATTTTATTTGGCAACCACCTTTTTTTTCCCACACACCTTACTACCACCCTCCCACTTCCCTCGTGCTCGATCATTCCCACTGCATTGTCAACCCAATTTGCAAATTGTTGGTCAACTGCTGCTCCTTTTCCTTCATTTGTTTCAAAGGTTACTATTGTTTCGTCATCCGTTACATCCCTGTATTTTCGAACAGGAAAATGAGACCAACTATCTCGTCCCAATAAAACGTCCACGTCCATAACACCATCCGGGACCACATGCGCCAGCACAGCTAAACATGCAGTAGGTGATCCAATATTCTTGGGTGCTTGTTTTCCCCCTTTCCACAATTGTACGTTTAACCTCGCTTGTTGTGTGGTAATCAAGGGCCTTCCGTGGAATCCTCCCCATTTTCGTTTTCTTCCCTTCTCAATCCCATCCAGTGACGCTGACCCACACTCCAACATGTAATCCACACACCTTTGTTGTATGAACGACGCCGGACTTCCGGTATCTAATAGTGCCTGACACAGGTGCATCGTCGTTGCTTGAACCCCCGCGAACACTTGAACTCTTGTGGTGTGGAGCGCGTCTAATGTGACATCCCCCCCTATCGCACTCGTGAAAGGAGACAAATACTCTGCTGGTTCTCCTGCGG